TATGAGATCATGCATGTTTCAAATCCAGAAAATAGTGAAAAGCGGTGAGTGAAAAAGCAAAGGATTTCAAATTTTTTTGCGGTTCGGGAGGAACGAAGGAAGAATCACAATTTAGGAAAGTCGGGAGGCGACAAGTGGGATTTTGATAGTGAGAGTAGAAGGAGAAGAAATTTTGGTTTTTACAAGTGCCCCAAAACAATGTCTCAGCGCCTACTAGCAATGTTGCGAGGTGAAAGAAGGGACTTAAAATCCATAGGAACAATGCATTAAGAGTTAGTCAAATTAGAAATAGTGTTGAGAGTTCCAAAGAGCCTTGATGTGTTTTAGGAAATTCGATGTAGTGAATTATTGTCTTAGTGTTGTATGGAATCCATCACACACTCAAATGAAAGAAGATGGTCAATACGGACATTATAAATTTTTACATGGGAAATTTGAAAAGGAAAAACATCACGGGTTTTGCCCAGTTGAAATATTACAATCCGAGTTGGTAATTACAAGTACAACCCTTTTATCCCATAGACTGAAAAGCGTTGCACATATTCTCATATTACAACATCCGTGCGGAAAAAAAACTTGTTGTCATGTGGTGAGAAAAGGGCAGCAACAAATGGTGGTCGACAGTGGTCGGCGGAAGACGGTTAGAGATAGCCAAAGATGGCGCGGTTAGAGGCGGCAGCGGCTAGAGAAGGCCGAAGGCAACATCTGCTGGAGTGGTCAGCGACAGCTTCTACTATAGATCGTCGAGATAACATCTGTCGAAGATGGTCGATGGCAGCATCTGTCGAAGATAGCCGAAGGAAACATCGGTCGAAGTTGGATGCATGAAGGTAGCGATGAAGTTCGTCTAAGAAGGTGTCAGCTTGAGACGGCGGCAAAGGCCCGAGACGGCAGGGCGCAGAAGCGGTTACCACGATGGAGACCTCAGGCGGTGGCGACTAGAGGCAGTGGCGAACGAAGTGGGTTGAAGGTGGCATCAACCGAAGTTGGTTAGAGGCGATGGAGATCACAGTTGGTCGGATCTACAGTGTAGGATGTTGGGCTGCCACTCCCTCTTCTACACACTCTGGTCTTCCTCTTGCCTAAAATTTAAGTTCCCTCTCATGAGGGGCTTGGAGATCTATTCATAGAGTTCATGTTGCAAATATGGAAAAAATCTAAACAACTCTTAATCGAAAAGCCTAGAGAAATCTCATTGATCAAACAATGTTCGAAGGATATTTTAGTGCCTTGATGATCAAATCAAAATTAAATGATATTAGATTCGTTGGATTTATCTTGCTTAGATGCTCGGTTTGACAATAATCAAGCTATTTTCAAAATCAATTTGATCTTCCAATTTTGCATGAAAAGTTTCCAAAAAAGGCTTAACACCTCTTGTGATTTGACTCAGATTGAACCAATTTTAATATTGTTTGGTCCGACTCATCCAGCCAATCAGGTTGACTGTAATTTTAATGAGATTGGGGTTTTGGACAATTTTTAATCGATAGTTGAATGTTTTTTGCTCAAAAAACTCTCAAAATCTGTGTCATGCCTCGAGATCTATGTCGGATAATAGAAATCTATTGATGGTATATCAAGCATTTTTATCCACAAAATCATTGAGCCAGTGCATAAAGTAACTTTAAAAGAGGCAAAGAAGATGAATTTCACTGCAAATTAATTGTAGGAAAGAAAGAGAGCAGATGAAAATAGGAGACATTTCAGATTGTTCAATTCCTTCCTACCGGAGCAGCATTGAAATTATTACGGCTTTTCTAAATTGGAAATATTGCCAAAGTTCTGTTGATGTAGGGGTCCAAAAGAGAATCCAAGTTGTTTGATTTCCGAAAGATAAAAACATTCCTAGTCATGTTCTTTAACCAAATATGTGCAATGAATACGTCCATTCCTCATCAGTACTCTTTCGTTTTTAAATATAATGACAGAGACTAACATAAAAAGAGAGGGAATTGTTGTTTTGCTTGCCTATTTTTCAGGATTGACATTATCACTAAAGTGAACGTGAGTTAAATGATCACTTGCTTCAAACAATTGTCGCTTGCCCTAATGAGACAATTAACTTTAGAAATATATAAATTCGTTCCACAACGAGACGCTTCGTAACTCATGAATCATAAGTGTAGGACATACGATACGACCTCAAAGTCAACCGTGAGGGCCAGCTATGTTGGATAGATTCTACAGATTTTTAAGCAAAGTTTTCCTCCTGGATGGCGTGCCTTCTACGGCGACGGACGGTGACTGCGACTGACGACGTCACCTTCTTAGGGTATCCAAAGAATCGAATATCGATCGATCATCCCATTCCAATTCGGTCACGGCGACAGTTGATGCTCCGGCGTGGCAGCTGCGGGCCCCAGGTTGGGGCGAGCCACGCAACATAGGGCAGTCCGAGAGCGGACGGACGTGTGCCGGAAATGCACCGCCCGTGAATCCCACGTGCCAGTGGTGCCTAACGCACTGACTCCACTAGCGTTTCTCTTTTCAAAATCACAGTTTTAAGGAGTGACTTTTATCACTTTTTAAAAAAACTAAATTTTAAATGAAATTTACTTTTAAAATTTTGATATCCATTTTTCAATATATATCAATTAAATTATCCGACTTCCTTATAAAAAAGCATCCAAAATTGTACTTTCATTTTGTTTTCAAATAATAAATATTTTTAGAGAAAAAAAGTTGTTAGTCACTTTTTTTTTTTTTTTAATTTAACTCACTAGTCACATTAAATTGTTAATGTTGTTGAATAATAATTTTAGCTATGATGCGAGCTTGAAAATTTGCGGCTGTAGATTAATGGATCAAATACTTGCACAAGATTTCAACACACTTAAATAAAATAAAACAATCAGCATTGATACCTGAAGTTTTTACTTGAAAAATCCGAAAAGGAAACAAACCATGAGGTTTGACCTGATTTTAAAAATTCACTATAAATTAATAATACAAACACTCATTAACTTTTATTATTGTCAACCCATACTAGCCTACAAGTTAAAAATTCAAAGTTTCAAAAAACAAAATTTTAAATTTAAATAATATAAATATAAAATTCAATCATATATTTTATATTGTGCTCATATGATGGGCCTTAATTGGCCTTTTGATTGGAGCTATTATAATTAGGCAATTAGCTTCATTTTTTTTTATCTACATGATGTGCTAAATAAATGATAATTTGTTTAAAATTATAAAAATCCACTCATACAAAGTCCCTTTATGGATGCATCCTGGTTTAAAATTTTTTAAAAATTATAAAAACGCCCTCATAGAAAGTCCCTTTATGTAACATTAACATGTGATCGTTGTATCATATGTAGCCTTATGTACATAGTTGGTCATGCTCAAAAAAGATGGATGGAGATCTATAATCAACATTTATAGCTGCAAAAATCATATATAAGAAGTAAAAAAGGATTCAATGTGACCCTATAATGGAAAATATATGTTCAAGATAGGGTGACTATTAGAAATGAATTATCTCTGGTATGTAAATAACCTTCACAATTAACTCTAAGTTAATTAAATACCTAAACCTAATCTAACCCAAATCACATGGCACCCTATGGTTAAAAAGATCAAGTTACCGAATGAGCCATTAAATTAAAATTAACTTTTCCTTTTAAGAATCGAGTTCTTATTGAACTTAACATATTTATAGGACACGAACATTTATACTTGTATGAAATTCAAACATGTAAATCTTAACAAAACTATGATTACATATCTAACACTTGAACTTGTGTAATTACATATATAACAACTAAACTTCCATTTTCCACATACATACCACCTTACATATACATGAAAATTGTATTCAAATGTAATGTTTAAGTATAAGATATATAAATACATAGGAATATAGTGGTATGTACGTAACCCTAAACCCTAAACCCTAAAGCTTCAGGTAGGAGCAAGCATGCTTAGTTTTCAAAACAATTGACAAGTTTCAGATAGGAGCGTAGCGAAAGAATGAGAAAGATGGTGGTCTCTATAAACCGTGATTCCATATCTATCTTCCCAGTTAGCTCGATTAGCGACTATACATAAATGAAAATTTTAGGGCAAAACAGGAGGTGCAGGAATGAATGGTGCAAACAATCGCACCAAAACAGGAGGTGCAGGAATGAATGGTGCAAACAACCGCACCTTACTCAATGGTTTATGTAGGCTTGGAACGAAAGGATGAGGGTTTCGATGGTTTTTTTAAGACACGATCCTCTAGCTAGCTTAGCCTCAATTGTCCATGTAAGAGGCAAGTTGCGACGATCGGGAGAGGAGGCCGACACGAGCCGGTCGCGAGGTTGAGCTGCCAGTTGCTAGAAGGGGGAAGGAGTTAGGGCAAAACCAGGAAGAGAGTTGGGAGGGGAAGGAGAGAAGCTTAGGACCGGGAGAAGGAAGATTGTCACATGAGAAATGAAGAATTGAGGATTTTAGGCGGTAATAAGGATGATAAGTGATGGTTTACTAATGACATATAACTGTCGATTGTATTTCGGACTTTAACATACGGATGCTAACGTCGATAATTTTAAATAAACAGTCATACTTTTTTTTTCTATTAATAAGAGACGGCTCCGGGAGTAGTAATACCACCAGAAATTAGAAGATTAAATGTCTGTAGCTAGGTAGTAGGAAATTTAATCGATATTTACGAACTGTCAGTTATATATTTGATTATACATTCTTTTCCTTTCTCAATTAGACTTCTAGTGTATTTTAATGAGGACATGTTTCTTAAGAAATAAAATAAAGAAGAATATATATATATATATATATATACCCTCAAATTCAAATGTATTCACATATCTAGAAAACAGATGAATCTTATTTTTTAAATTTATAAGATCCAAATCTTTCATATTACATATAAAATATTATAAAAAATTTACTCTTGTAACTCCGAAAAGAAAAAAAAAATTTACTGTATTTGGGCCCGCTCCCCTCCCGGCCGGCGCACGATATAGAAAAAAAAAAATTACTGTATTTGGGCCCGCTCCCCTTCCGGCCGGCGCACGATACCTACCGCACGCACTCACTCTTCTCCTCCTCACTTAGGGTACGAAAGGATAATAGAACAAAATTGCTCATTCTCTCACCCAACTCTGGCTGCAAAGAGCGACCCCATGGTCCGAAATGAGTCGCTGACGCCCCCCGTGGCTTCGGAGGATGATGGGGCAGAGCGTTGTCCCGTAGAGGAGGTGGCCCTGGTTGTGCCAGAGACCGATAATCCGTCGATGCCAGTGATGACATTCCGGGCGTGGTTCCTCGGCTTAACTTGCTGCGTCCTGCTCATCTTTCTCAATACCTTCTTCACTTTTCGCACGCAGCCGCTTACAATCTCGGCGATCTTGATGCAGATTGCAGCACTTCCCCTCGGTCGGTTCATGGCCGGGGTGCTGCCAAGAAAAGAGGTGAGGGTCTTTAGGGGCTGGAGTTTTAATCTGAATCCTGGACCGTTTAACATCAAGGAGCACGTAATCATTACCATATTTGCCAACTGCGGGGTCTCCATTGGTGGAGGAGACGCCTATTCCATTGGGGCTGTCGCAGTGATGAAGGTCTACTACAAGCAGACTTTGAGTTTCTTATGCGGCCTCATTATTGTGCTAACTACACAGGTAAAATAAAGAAACTAAGAAAACGAGGCTTGGTTTTCTCAGCCTTCTGGGATTTAATTACTATTAGTTGAATTGGCTTTTCTGTGTTTTGATTTTCATATTCTATTTCTTTCTTTGTTAATTTGGCTTCTGCTCGTTACTTTTGAGTTTTTACTTTTTCAAGAAAAAAATTTCCATAAGTTGGCTTATTTGTTCTAAATTTCCTTGGGAAAAAAGCATTTGTTCGGGATCTCCTGTTTTTGCCACTTAATTGTTGGAGTAGTCCAGCTTATTTATGAAATTGGTGGCCTCTCATTTTTATTTGGATGAACTGGGTAGAAGTCCTTATAGCATAAGGAGATATTTGTTATATGTTTTTCAGTATAAAAACTGAAAAGAATATTTGCTTTTAGAAGGGTTAGATGAGGATGAATCAGCTGAAGGCGGGGAAGGTTATTGACAACGAAAGGTTGGGATGTTTAGTCTATTAGTCCATTTTTATACAAGTGATGTGGAAATGATTCTTTACCCGTCAGAAGGGAATCTTGACAGCTTAGAGTCGTATCAAACGCTCGAGGCTAAAGCCATGGAATGTGCTCTAAAGTTTGTTAGTGACATAAGAATTCGAATTGATAAGGAAATGGTTCGCTGGGCATGGAAAATAAGTGATTTTTTTAAACTGGTCATCCGTGTTGTTTTATTTAGGCCGAAGTTGGAATTGATGACAGCAATCGTTTGAGCGAATAGAAATGAAATTCAAAAGTAGAGACACTATGAGATCACACGTCTCTCATTTTCTTCTACCACTTGCTTAGGTGGACCCGGATACGTTTTTGTATTCTCTTTTTATTTTATTTTTATATGTGACATGTACTTGTAATACAGAGACTCAACCTTCTCTCTCCTTTGACCAAGGGAACAAAAGTCCTTTCATGATTCTATCCTCTTTTTTATTTACTCATGGATTGCTATTATTTGATATATTCTCTGAATCTTTACCAAATATATTTTTGCAATGATTTTTAGAAATTTCATTTTTTTCTCCATTCTGATGAAAGACCCACTTTTCTTCTACTTGAAATATTTTATCATTTGTACAAATCATTGGAATAATTTTTTAATTTTGATACATGTCTTTGCAGTTACATTTGATAGGGGGGATTGTTTAATTGTCCAACTCAGTTATTGAAATAATTTTTTAGCTCAATGAATTGGCGACAAATGAAATGCTATTGCTGTTTCATTCAACATATATTTTTTTATTGATAAATAGAGTGGACCTGTAAAGCACTCGTAGATATTAGTTTTTAACATCTTTTCCCCAATACAGGCTTTCTCAAACTTTTCTTCCCTTGGTGCACACTAGCACCGCTTCATTATGAAATTAAGCAAATTGACTGTTTATGTTTATTATTTTGGCATTCATTCGAATTTGTCTGCACTATATTTTTGAGTGATGAATGAATTGCAAAATATTTGTAAATGTGTGTATTTTTTGTTTAAAGAGTATTGTGATCAAATTCATGTATATTTGAATCGACAATCTTCTTTTTCCATAACAAACCTCCTCAAACCTTAAAAAATCTATGCTGTTCTCTTTCACAACTCATGCTTCTTCTAATCAACTTATCAATGGCTTTAGCTTATTCTTATTTGTTTTTTCATGCAGATACTAGGTTATGGTTGGGCTGGAATGCTAAGGAGGTATTTAGTAGATCCAGCAGAAATGTGGTGGCCTTCAAATCTTGCTCAAGTTTCCCTTTTCAGGTTTGCAATGTCGAGAAGAGTTTTCTAATACCTTTTTTAATGGCCAATTTCCTCCACTAATATAGTTTTTCATTTTCCAATTAAGGTATTCATTATTACAGCAGAGGCAAGAAAGAAATAGTAATAATAAGAAAATAGGGAAAGCTTGGCAAGTTGGAGTTTATTTATTGTTAGTCAGTTTTTAGCAGACTTAGCTATTTTCACTTATTTTACTTGATTTAGGCATCATGTTAGAACTATGTTCTGATTATTTCCCTGAAAATAAATGTATTTTTTGGCACATTAAAGCTTCCATGTTCCCATCTTCTATTTAAGAAGCTTTTAGATTAAGAAAATAACTGCTTAGATGGAATCAGCAATTGGTGAAAGAGCCATGCTTATCGTTATACTTTTCTATCTCCCAAGAAGAGTTGTTACCGACTCTTTTAATAAAGACCAATTAATAATTTTATGGGAACTATAGTTGCTTTTTTTCTTAAGTGAAGCTAAGAATTGTCGATATACTAGCTAAAATTAGGTGTACAAACTAGAACTAAATTCTTTATGATACCTATCATCTTATACAAATTCTATATTCCACAGAGCTCTCCACGAGAGGAATTTATCATCTAAAGGGTTGACAAGGATGCAGTTCTTCTTCATATTCTTAACGGCAAGTTTTGCCTACTTCACTCTACCTGGATACCTTTTCCCTATCCTGACATTCTTCTCTTGGATCTGTTGGATCTGGCCTCACAGCATCACAGCTCAACAGATAGGGTCAGGCTATCATGGACTTGGTGTTGGAGCATTTACTCTTGATTGGGCTGGTATCTCTGCATACCATGGTAGCCCTTTGGTCGCCCCATGGTTTTCTATTCTAAATACAGCTGTTGGTTTCATCATGTTCATCTACATAATAATGCCTCTTTGTTACTGGAGTTTCAACACCTTCGATGCAAGGAAGTTTCCCATATTCTCAAACCAGCTATTTACTTCCAAGGGACAGAAGTATGACACAACCAAGATTCTGACGCCCTCATTTGAGCTCAATGAAGCCGCTTACAATAACTACGGGAAACTCTATCTCAGTCCTCTTTTTGCAATCTCTATAGGTTCAGGTTTTCTTCGGTTTACTGCAACATTAACCCACGTGCTCTTATTCAATGGCAGGTGAGGAGAAGGTTTAATTGCGCTATTGTTATTTTCTTTTTTTTTTTACTTTGGCCATGAATTTTGCCAATTTTTTTATTTGCTAAATCAATCATCATTGATTGGTAGCTTTTATTTTAATTATCAATGCTATTTTATTGAAAATACTTGAGGGTTCAGGGGTAGAATTGATAAGACTAGCTGATCTAATTTTAAGTTTAACGCATGAAAAAGGAAGTTTTAACGAGAATAATAAATATTTCCAATCCTTGTAGAGATATCTGGAGGCAGAGCAAGTCTGCAGTGAATTCAGCGAAGCTGGACATACATGCGAAGCTGATGAATAACTATAAACAGGTTCCTCAGTGGTGGTTCCTTGTTCTTCTAGCAGGAAGCATAGGGCTATCTCTGTTAGTGTCATTTGTATGGAAGGAGGAGGTACAGCTGCCTTGGTGGGGCATGCTCTTTGCTTTCGGGTTGGCATGGGTTGTCACTCTACCAGTTGGAGTTATCCAAGCAACCACAAATCAGGTAACGAAAATTCTGAGCTATCATTACTGCTTTTGTCTCATCGTCCAACCAACAGGAAATGCTGAAATCTTTTCCATTATTCATGATTCTTTCAGCAACCTGGGTATGATATCATAGCACAGTTCATGATTGGGTATGTCCTCCCGGGAAAGCCCATTGCAAACTTGCTCTTTAAGATATATGGTAGAATCAGCACGATCCATGCCCTTTCTTTCCTGTCTGACCTCAAGCTCGGGCATTACATGAAAATCCCACCAAGGTGCATGTACACTGCACAGGTGATCAACTAACTATCAATTGTTGCTTTAATTCATCAATGAATGATCTGTATTATAATTTTGTCATTGTTAAACCAACTATTATCTGCGGCCTGCCTTCAGCTTGTTGGAACTGTTGTTGCTGGAATCGTCAACATTGCAGTAGCGTGGTGGATGATTAAAAGCATCGAGAACATATGCGATGTTGATGCCTTGCATCCCAGTAGCCCATGGACATGCCCCAAATATCGTGTCACATTTGACGCTTCAGTCATCTGGGGCCTGATAGGCCCTGCTCGACTCTTCGGCCACAATGGAATGTACCGCAACTTGGTGTGGCTGTTCCTAGTTGGTGCGCTGCTACCAGTGCCGGTGTGGTTATTCAGCAAGATGTTTCCAGAAAAGAAGTGGATACCTTTGATAAATATACCAGTCATCTCTTATGGATTTGCTGGAATGCCTCCAGCCACACCCACAAACATAGCTAGCTGGCTCGTCACAGGAACAATATTCAATTATTTTGTCTTCCGTTACAGGAAGAATTGGTGGCAAAAATACAACTACGTGCTATCAGCAGCCTTGGATGCGGGCACGGCCTTCATGGGTGTGCTTCTCTTCTTTGCTCTTCAAAATGAAAATAGAAATCTGAAATGGTGGGGAACGGAGATTGACCATTGTCCATTGGCATCCTGCCCTACCGAACCTGGAATTGTTGTTAAGGGATGTCCTGTTTTCTAATTCTCATGATTCAACTACATGCATGCCTTTGAGATTATATTTACAAAGACTTTTGATGATAAGAGGAGAAGAATGGTATCCTTTCTTCGTCATGTGATAGGATTTTGGAGCTTGAAGCAATGTCTTCAAACTAAGTCAATGTACACAAATAACTCCTTATTTTACCCAACCACGTTAATTGGCTTGTGATTAAAGATATTACTATTTGAAAGAACTTCCGTTAGGGGTAAATGCGGTATACGAAAGGTGTGCTCTTGGAACTTAGAGAATATGTCTTTACCAAACATATATAAGCTTTGCTATGGCCAATATCTTTGGTGTTTGTTATTTAACGAACCTGGTGGTTCATTAGTATTTAAAGGCTAGCATAATGAAGATTCAATGGATGCGTTGAACGAGTGTTAAACAAGATTGAATAATCTTTATTCTCCATGGACCAAAAAATAATTAGGCTTAATCAAAATTATAACTATACAATGATAAAGGAGAAATACGGTCATTACCTGAACTCGTCTTTTTTTACTCGATTCCATGGAGCCTCTTTCTATTTAGATAGCGAAAGGATTGTGCTGCAATCATGCATGAATAAATTATGCTATTTGTAATGTTGCATCATATTGCTACCTCCATATGTTAGGATGAACGTTAACAAGTTCTCTTTATAACTCATAATTTTGTCAAGGAGTTGTTTGAATTGGTACACTATTATTCACAAATGATGTCCCTTACAACATTGCTGATGTTGCATTTGACAAATATCTTTTGTATGTTGATTAACACATCATTGGTTGCACCCATGGATTTGATTAGCTCGGAGACCTTATCAACTCATATTGTCTCAAATTGTGGTTTAAAATAAGGTATACCCTAACAATATCATACATGATGTCTGGAATGATCTCAATTCTTCAAATTTATTATAAAAATTATGGTCAATTAATTTAGTTTAATAGTTAAAATAAAAAGTTTTCATGTAAATATTTATAAGCAAAGCGTGTAAAAGTAATAACAGAGAAATAATATTTATTTCATCAACAAAACCTAAAAACTAACTCATTAAAGAAGAAAAAAAATTGATAGAAAAATTATTAAAATAATTAAATAAATAAAGACTACTTAAAAACAACAAAATGCAAGTAGAAAAAATAATAAATTTTTTTTTAAAAAAAACTAAATAATTTGAACTAGTAGTAATGATCCACCAAGAAACATGGTGAAAACTCCAATAAGAAATTTTATTAATGATCGAGCTTAGTAATTCAAACTCAATAAGTAATTTTTATCTAATAAATTAATAAAAAAAGATATTTAGACATAAAACATGAACAATAAAAGTAAAAAACAAAGTACTCCACATTAAATGTGGTTATTATCATGTTATAATTATTTTTCATTAGTGAAAATGTGTTATACATTTTAGGATAACCTTACAACACCCTAAATCAGAAGGTGGGCAAATATATAATATGCATTTTATAATTAATATATTCAGTACTCTCTTCATGATTATAATTTATTCATAGGAATAAAATTCAAGGTACTGAACATAGGTAACCTCTACGAAAATATATATTGGTAACAAGAGACTTATTTTAACATTAAGCACATTTAAAGCAAAAAATAAAAATGAAGCTATTTATATTATTTATTATTTTATAATGACCATTTAAATAATATTTTAAGAAAATCATGCAAGTTAAATTTTAAACAAGAAAAGCATGACGTACAATCTAAAAAAATGATTAAAATTTTAATACAAATATTACAACACACCATTAACTAATGAATGTTTGTTTGATATAATTATAAATTAAATAATTTAAAATTATATAATAAAATAAAAAATATTTATATTGTGTACAATATAAAATTATATATATATATATATATATATATCTACTTGAAAT